AAAAACAAAATAAAGTGTGTCTGGCTACGTACAGTTTTTTCCACTGTGTCAGTCAATGTGTTAATATTTTGGCCCTCCGCTGACTGATAATCTAGCTACGCCCATGCTAGTGTATACATTTTCCTAAGATCATTCGAATGTACTAAAATCCTCAAAGACAGAAATCCTCCTAATCACCAGCATGTAAAACAGTTCAGTCCGTTTCATGCGTAGTAACAGTTTCTTTAACAGACTCTCGTGTCCATTCGAGCGGACGCGCAAGACATTGGTGTGACACTGGTTTGCTACCAATCAGTCGGATCCACGTCGTGGACGGAAATCCTGAGGAATCACACTAAAGCCGTTCGTCCTACATAGAAATTACCGCGATGGCCCGTGTCGTGGCCGGGTGCGTGTGCAAGTGTACACGCAACTACGTCAACGACAGTATAAAACGGAGTCGCGAACCGACAGAGGAAACGGAGGATTTGTCACGAAGGCAGTTTGGTTTAACTGATCTCATCCGTCTTGTCGCGGGGACGTTGGCTACGTTTGCTGGCAGCTGTCTTCGTCGTTGCCCCGACGACAACGCAAGCGTTCATTGTGTACGACCACTCCGATTCACCCCCACCTCGTCTTTTTCAAACTGAATTGAATCGTCTCGTCGATCCTAACGGGCCAATGATCCCAGACTTTTAATATTTGTACGCGTTACATCTGACATACGTATTGTGTTATTACTTGGACGTGATATTAGATTCAAACATTATACGAATTTTATTAGGCAAAACAAGATTTGGTAGACTTTATACATGTTCCTCATTGAAATACAAGTACTACATTCATATTATATTCAGAATTTGAAGATGACTCTACGAAGGCACTTTTGACTGTCATCTTTTGGATGACAATTTCGTTGAATTTTTTCTGACGATTATTTAGGAATTTTGTTTCAATGTCTATCTTTAGCATATGGAGGAAATGGCCGAATTTAATTCAGTTTAATTCTGTATCTTAATTAACTTTAGTATTTAACATAATTGATTTTATTGATATGTTAGGTGGTACTTTGAAACAAGTATAGTATATTGTCTAATTTTGCAATAGAGAAAGGAGCAATGTTAATAATTTTCATTCATAAAAGTAATGTCAAATATATCTACCAGTAAAATCGATCATTTTATGCGCAACGATCTATAATACTTGTCGAGTTGCAAGCTAGCTAAGATATTAGATTATTTTATTTTCAGATAAATTTTACTAATCGAAGAACACGCTAATAGATTCACTTTTTTGTTGAGAAAATAGTAATTTTATTCCATTTCAACTAATCTTAAGAAAGCTAATGATAATGTCCCAAGGGAACTTTTAGTTTCCATGGTACTTTGATGAAAGTATATTGAAGCTTTTCTATTGTTTCTTTCAATCCATAAGTCATGCACGCATAGTTGTCTGAGAAAGCAGTGTTTTATATACTTCCTACAATTAAACTTCTGTCGTAACCATTTTATGGTCCATTATCTTCAGCCAGACAAAAAACTTGAAAGCGTAACTTATATTCATGTTCAAGTGTGCTTTGAATGCACGTCAAACCCTCCGTGAACTCCACGCGTGTTACCAGTGTCACCGGGTACACCGTTGCGTGTGGACGTGTCTAAGTCGAGAAATGTATGCCATTAAGATGACATTTACAAACGTTAGAACCACTTTCAGCGTCCCACGCGTCACCATAAAAGAGTCCTGATTGTTACGTCACGTGCTTTATTCTATTAACATCCTTTTTATTTGTCCCTGCTAATATTAATTACGAACATCACGCAGATCGATATATCCTTGTCGTCCATTGACCGTTACGGCACACACTATGATTTCCTTAACAATGACCACGTAATTAACTATGGAGAAAGAATAAACTGAAATAGTCCTTACACTATATAACATTTGCATATTGTAACGATCACAGCGGGTTTTTAACAGACTTTTTGAATAGACGCAGACAAAGATCAATTATTATAGTTGTAAAAAGTAAAATGTTTACGTTACTTTTCATCTGATTTTACCAAACAGATAAATTTCTCTTTCATTACAGCTTTTAGTAATTAACCCTGGAACTTTACACTGGGTTCTCAGAAACCTAGTGTGTCATTTAAATCAAGGAATGCGTGTCGCTTTGAGGGATTTTGTGAAAAAATGAAAAGGTTGGTTTTGCTATATCCAGTTCTTTGTTCTATTATTAGACATCATGCTCAGAACATGAAAAATTAATATTTACTGTTGCTAATAAAATGTGAATTTATGTGAACATCTCCAGTATAGTCACGTATGGTCTATATTCTTGAATTACAAGCGGTATGTTATCTCGTATTTTATTACCATTTCGAATTTAATCATCGAATCACTCAAAGAGGAGGAAAATTACGAGAAAGACGAACTTCTCAGCATCATGCAGGATTCTACAATCAAAGGTCACGTAGGATAACGCGAATTCGAGAGGCATCTGACTTCGCGTTCTGTGATAAAACATAAGTACACCGAGCTGGTCTTGTTGCTTTTCCTCCCCGTCTATGTTAAGCAGTTATTTGCTACGTTATTATAGTCGTGACGGTATGTGTGTATGTGGACGGGCTGCTAGGTGTACTTTACGGTGAGCAGGGCACGTTAATCGAACTTTAAGTACATGCTAGGCCGAGTGTGTGATTTAGCACGAATGTTATTTGAGAATCGACATTAATGATTCCAACGAAAACGAATACATTAACGCTGAGGTATACAAATGTATGCAGACCCGAGACTTTCCGTAGACTCCACTTTACAGAATACCAGAGTTAGAACATTCCTAGATACAGTTCTAATAGGAATTATACAATCGTATCGGTTCACTTGTCTTCATTTCACATTTTTTGGTCATACTTTTGTCAAAGTTCGTTCAATAATCTACAATTTCAGTAGAATTACTTTGTTTATTAATGTAGAATCAAATTTACCATTAGTTTTCATATAATTTACCAAATACATCACTTTCTACACATTTACGCCATTTCTCGAGCATTTGGCGAATCCCCTCTCGAAAAAATGATAGCACTTTTGAGTCAGTAATTAATTGTGGGGGTCACGAATTAATTTCTACACCTAATAATTTATAATGGTCACAATGTTGTAGCTACAATAACAGAAACTAACGAACAATGATAACACAAATCGATCGATAGAAGGCACAAGTAGCTCAATAAAGTAGACACCAGCATCAATGTACGTTTTTGTCATAAATTTCTCATAAAAATTCACTTCACACTTCAGAACTGGCACTATCTAAATCGTTACAAAAGGTCAGCATTCTGAAGAACTAATGTATTCCTCGTAAACATTTTCCTACACCGCGTAAAAGGTGCTGATTAATGTCCCGTAATGGGTTCGTTTATCCTTACCAGGCCAAAACAGGATCAAAACAAATGCGTTTGTTCTGTACACCGCCTAAACCCTTGACATTATTTTTCGAGCGATGTTTTATTAGCGAAAGGTCTTCTGTTTTATCCCCGGATTCTCTGTGCCCCCGCACGTGCAAGTGACGCACGTGTGCAGTGGTTCGACTCGTGTGAAATTATTCAGGCGGAAGGTTCCGGCAATGGTTGAGCAGGATGTGCGCGGGTGGTGTTTTCGCCCGCGTGCCCCGTTCCCCAGTTCGGTCGCGTTTAACACCCGCAGTGGGCAAAAGGGTCTACCGATATTTTCGCTCCCTTAAAGGTGCCACCTTTATCCTCCCCGTTCCTCGGTCTCTATCCTTATCTCTTCGTATTCTTTAAGGGGGCCTACACGAAAGTTCACTTTGCACGGCGTGTCAAAGGTTCCCTCCCCCTACCCCCCTACGCCACCCTAGCTGGCGGATCCACCGTAACCCGCGTTCACCGTATTCCGACTGGGCTTTAATTGCTAACACGATAAACGAACGTCAGGTTGCGCCTCTTCTTTTCAACTGTTCGCCTAGGGAGCGGAAATTGTACATACATTTTCGACAACCGCCTATCTTGTCCTTGGTGAAAGGAGATATTACTCTGCCCCTGCCTCGTAGGACGTTCGGACCTTCGCTTCTGCCTTGTGCTCTTGAAAGCGGCGGAAAAAAGTGCTCTGAAAATTAAGGCGTTCGTTGAGCTTGTACTATCGTTTAAAAGTACGAGGGTTGTTCGATAAGTAAGGAGAATAAATTGTTTTCATATGATTTATAAAGTTTTTGTTAATACTAAAATGAACATTGTTCAACTTTTTTCGTAATCATTTGATACAGAAAATTAAAATAATATATTTTTTGGTAATAATAGTATCTATTTACACGTACTATTTTAACTACGATTTATTAGTTGTTATATCTGTTAATAGTGCAGTGAGAACAGTTCTCAAAATCGTTGAATTACAATGATTACAGTTGAAGGAATCAGTGGAAAATTGGTACGAGTGACAAAAACTTTAATTTGAGAAAACTGTGGGTAAATTTAAACTTTAATAGATATTTGTATACTTACAAATATGAACCAATTAACTACTACAGACATAAATATGTACTTATACGGCGAGTAAATTGCACTAACAATCAGTATAACGCATTTCTTGTTTCACCAAATCGATGTCGAATCTACGTGCTAAGTAACAATTCTATTACCCTTTAGTTTATTCACAGATAAACACAAGTTTCCAATGTTAACATCTGGTATGCGAATGTCGTTTCGCAGTTAAAAGGTTAGAACACATTACTATACATATACTATCAATAGAAGACACTTGTACCATTTTCCCTCTAGATAAATATGTCTCCCATATATCGTTTCCTGTACTTATCTCGTTTTTTCCAAAAAATGCACTCGTATAATTTTTCCACTGAACCCCTCAGTGATAATAAATTATACAAATACTCATGCGTTCCTATGTACATAAAGATAATACGTTTGATCTTGCTGATCCACTTATCGTGCATTCCTGAAATCTCAATCCCCATTAATAATATTCATTTCTTCTTTTTTCCATTGTTTCAGGTTTTGTCTCGTGTTCGCCAAGCCCCTGCAAAAACGGAGGAGTGTGCGTGTCATCGCCGCGCGGCGAGTCGCATTGCAAGTGAGTGCATATATTTCATCGTTCTCATTATTGTAATTACGCGTTGTTTCGCAGGCGTGTAGGCATCGTTTGACGTGCGTGTCATGCGATTGCCCGCGAAACCACCGGGTTCAGGCTGCTCCGCGGAATGACGAACGTCGTGGAGTCGTTGTTCGCCGTCTTGGCGATCGGCGGCTGGCCGTCGCGTCGTCGGGCGGCCCCATGGAAAGGGAACGAACGGGAGGGGAACAGACGAAACAAAGATAACGCGCGCGTCCAGGGGATGAGGAAGGGAGATAGAGAAAGAGAGAACGCGAGGGCGAGAGAACCGGACGTTTCACCGCCTCCCACGCGCGAAAAGGATGAGAAATGGAGGAAACGCGAGGAAAAGGGAAGCTAAGAAAGATGAACGAAGGCAAAATGACATAGATACGTTTAGATCAGGACTTGAAAACTGTTGTGATATAGATTTCGATTATTGATTCAGTTCTGAAGAACCTTTATTCTGAGTAATTGTTATAAAGAACATAAATTTCAGACTACAGTAAATTATCAATGTATGTTCGAGGGATTCTCGACATTGACAAAGAGAGGAATCCAGGTGTAACGCCGACTTTTTTATGAGATTTAACAGGGTGATAGAGTTTGGAATTTTGAAGCCAATGATATTTGTTTAGACCCCTCTGGCTATTAGTTTATGAAATATTTAATGTTCAGTGTCGAGAGCCTTCGAGCACTCATTGCAGATGTACTATATCAGCTCCCATGTCAGTTATACAACCGTTTTAGAACTTGTATAGAACCTAAAAAACAACAGTTATTCAGAATAAAGGTTCTTTATACCTGTTTCAATCGGCCCCTTTATACATAACTGTTTGAAGCAATGATGTATTTTTGGAACCGTTTCAAGCCCTGATCTAGACTTGTTGGTCGACTCCCATGTCCCGTTTTTCTTCTGAATATCACTTCCAGTTGCGACAATAAGGTCTTCGATTTCGATAGACTTGTTCCCTGGTCGATTTTTTTATTTTTGTTCGATGCCGATTCTCTTATTCTTTCTTTCTTTCGTTGTCTCTGTTGCGATTAACTACACTCCTGCCGTGTCCTCGTGATCAATACACACGAACGCCAAAGGGAACGCGATCGTCTAGGGGGTAATTGGAAAATTAGCCTGCTACATTCCTTCTCCATTGATCGGCTGTGCTCAGTATGGGGTAATGAGGTCAGAACTATACGCGATTTCCCGGTAATACCTCCAATCGGGTATAATTACACTCACACCATCCGATTGCGCCTGAAATGATACTCTGGCTCACGCTCGGATTATTTAATATATCGACTGCCACAGGTGAACCACGTGTATCGGCAACTTTCATTTCGAAACTACGAAATCAGTCTATATTGTTAGATATTAACACTAGAACTACCAAACAAATCCAAATGACTTGTCAGTGCACTCCTATAACGATGATTTAAACGTTATACCAATACATTTTCTAAGATCTTTGGAACTTTTATTACGATATGAAAGTGAAGAAATTATTTTTTTTTTATTAACTCCTTATTCTTATTTACAATCTGTCTTGGCGACAATAAGCAAATAGAAAGTGAAGAAATTAGTTAATTTATAAGTTTGTGAAATTTCAATAGTTTGCCATGTTTATAGATCGATCAAATTAGACATGCGTTTATCATCGGTAGTAGTGTTAAATAAAGTGGTTTTAGTTAGGGTTTGTCGACTTTAATGGGAACCGGAAGAAATACCGTAACAAATTCGTTGTAAAAATCGTTTTTGGTCTTCTGAGCATTTTGATGGACCATCCTGTTAAGCAGACTGTAGAATGACAAGGGGGTTATTTTTCGAAAACAGTGATGTGAAAAATAATTGTAGATAAAAGTAGGTTGACCTAGCGGAACAATTTGCCAATCATCTTTCCTACTTTTTTTTTAAAGAGAGAAGGGATCAATGTGTCTCCGGTCGCGATTGACCGCACGATTCGATCGCGCGAAATGACGTTCGGACTCGCATCGATAGAACATAATACCAACAGAATGGCGTGGGATGGCATGGAATGAGGTGGAACGAGATGGTCCGGGATCCGGTAATAGCTGTAATAGTTGCCAGTCGTGACCCAGCGACGCATCTAAATTACCTTTATCTCGAACCCTCGTAGGTTTCACTTTTGTATCAGTTAGCTCGACACCTCTCCGTTGATCCGTCGTTGACCCTCTTATTGGTCGGCCCACGGGTTATGCAAATGGTGGCGGAAAATTTGGGAGTCGATAATATCGAGCGACTGGTACCTACACCATCCTTTCCGACGAACGCATAATCGAACGTCTTTTCATTGTTTACGATCATGGTCATTTTACAACCAGGAACCTGTACAGACGCAAAGCATCACGGTTTCTAACTATACGAAAAAAAATATATAAGTCAGATCGTAGGATTATTTATGGATTTCCTTTGGTAGCAAACCTGACATTCTGAATTTTAATTTCGATCTTCGAACGACACTTGACTTTACGTCCTCGCTGTCATTCACAATGTAGTTTTTATGCGGAATATTTTAACTTCAATTTTAAGCATCAAAAATTGAAATATTTCTGGCTGTATTGTTGATATTTTATGTTCTTGTTATATGGATATTGTAAAACGTTTAATATGGATATTCGTGAAGTGTCATAAATATGAAGAATGAAATTATGCGGAAACCGGAATGGAGCATGCTGTCCAGTAAATTTTGGATTGACTTAGGACATTAAGTTTAATTGCGAGTGATGTTATCTGCTCGTGACCTGACCGTCCAATTTTTCAGCCACCGTCTTCGTTTATATTTTCTACTCTTGTTTCATATTCTCTTTGATTACCCCTCTTATCTCACTCGCGTCCGGCGATAGTACCACCTACGAGGCAACGCCGTGCGAGGACTAATTCATCTTCTTGCGAACGCGAACAGCACTAATTCCTCGTTGCAACGGTATGGCCTTATAAGCAATTCTGCGTAAGTGTAATTTGACGGATACTAATCACGACGGACTGCTACAATTCAGCACGCGTGTAAATCTGTTACCGAGTTCAGGGCTGTCTGTGTTGAACATTAGTATTAAAGGCATTATGAAAAACATCCAGATAAATATTTCAGCTGATGCAATTCCAAAAGAATTTCAGTGACTCAAAAATTGCAATATTTTTTAACTTTATAGGCTTCTAAAGAAAGAATTTCTTTATCTGTTGTATTCTCAATTCATCTTCAGAGTAGGTACTACCGTTTCTTGAAAGTTGAGCGCCTTTCCTATTTATGCTCTATGAAACTGTACAATACAATTATATAAAATGTGTAATATGAAAAAAAGTAATTTTCTCTGTCAACTTTGACAATTCGTCCCCAGATGGTGAAACAAATTTTGTTTCCCAAGAAACCATAATATATCGTGTAAACATTTTACGGGATTAATTGTTATATAAAACTTCAGTTTCATTGTCACAGTATCCGAAAGCTTAGCAAAAATATTAAATGTAATAATCCTTTCGAATCTGCAGTTTCAATCTCGGATATCCTCGATCATTTTCCAAAGCTCCCGCACGAAATGACCATAATCCAATACAATAACAAATTTGGCTAGTGCCACTTGACAATATGGTGAGTTAAAGCTACCGCTGACGGATGGAGGATCCTACACAATAGGGTGGGAACCATCCCCCATATGATCACGTGTACCTACTCTTGCACATTCACGCGTTCGTACGTTCTGCCGTGGGGATAGACGCGTGTCCCCGCGGCGGCACGGCACAGCGATCGCATAGATCGCTATTCGCACAATGGATGTGCACTTGCACAGTTACATGTTTACGTGGATGCGCCAACGCGTGCGTTCGAATGCATCGCGCGTGGACGGGTCACGTGTCCTCGCACGTGACCCCCATAGATTTTGCATTGGTCCTCGGGCATCTTCGAATGGAAAAAGGGTTGCTCGTTTGCCTGGAAAAATAATATTATTTTTCCATTTTCGTGTCTTTCTCTCTTTCGTACGTGGTATCGATCGTATGGACCGAATTTATGTATTTTCTTCCGTTATCTGATATTGCAACAATCGTTCTCTTAGGTGGATTTTTTGTGCTTACAGCGTTTGTAAATATAAAATTAATGCATATCTTTCAGTCGATATTATTAGGGGAAAAATACACGTGTATTTCTGTAAAAGTAGCGACAGTCTAGTTAATAGTAACACATGATATAAAGTGAGTTTGCAATATTTCATATACTTTAAAGTATTTTTGATATTTTATAGGTATTACTTTATAGTTTTAATCAATTGGTATTATAGCCATTTACGATAAATTTAGGATTAAACAATAGTTCATTTCCTGCATTGGAAGATATGATCTTACAGGATCTCTTTCAACGAATGCACTGTCAATGGGATAATTTTCACGTATCCAATCCTATATTCTGAAAGTTACTGGGTCGTGTCAGATCGAAATAGTTTCCTCACTCCCGATATTTTCCACTTTCGGGAACGTTTACAATAACACCAGAGTCCGATAGTTTTACGATCTTTGGCAACCAAAAACGGTGATTTTTTGCCGTTTCTCTTTTTTTTCTCCCCCAACGAAGGGAATCAGTTGGGGTAAACTTTCGGTAAAAGCATTAAGAAAGCTTCCACCGTGAATAGCGCAGCTGTGACCGTTAACCCCGGAAATTTTTTCGTTCCTCCCTGCAGACCTGTATCTGCGCGCGGAAGAAGGGGTTCGTCGAATGGAGCAGCATATGCACGATGATGGATGGCGACGCGCCACGCATCCCCTGCGAGTCACAGGCTGTTGTTGGAATAGGCGTGCGCGTTTTGTGTATCGTGCACGGACCGACGGTTCCTTTGAGGAAACAGCTTAAATCCCAAACGGTCGCACAGAGAGGGTCCTCTGTTTCGTATGCAAGGACAAGAAATTCGTGGTACTCCTGTTACAATTGTCCTTCGTTTTGCATGTTACGCCCGGAATGTTTTACCCCCTTGCTTAA